ATGATAACTAATTACTGAATAACACATGAGAGTAAAAAGTAATTGAAATATTTTTGGGGTACATTAAAAAAATAAATAAATAAAAAAAAGAGGGGGAAATGTTTTGGGGGTTTTTTAAGCAAATTTTTACCATGACTTAGACCTAAATGCATTTTCTTGAATTCTGGTGATCTCAAAAGTATCATTAACTGAATGGGCACCCTAAACTTAGTTGGAAATGACACCTTAAATGTTTTTCTACTGTGTTTGGTTCCAAAGTTAAGCATGTTTGAATATTGTTGGCGGCCATCTTGAATTTGACCTCTCCCAGGCCTCAGAGGTCAAATCTGACTTCCCTCCACATCTGAAAATAAACCTTATGGTATGTACTAACTATGGTAGAAATTTCATGCTTTTTTCAAAAAGTGCACAATTCCTCATAATTTGAGAGCTTATCCACTGTACTATTTATGAACTTAGAACCAAAACCAAATTTTTTAAATGTATAAAATAAATATGGCCATTCTAAAGCTGCGTTCACACCGGGCGTGAGTGAAGCAAATTACCCGCGCATAACGCGAGTAACGAGCCGCGCGTAACGCTCCATTTCAGCTGCGGAGCGTCTGTCCATCTGACTCCGGTGAGTAGCAGTTTATTGTTGTCAACAACTGGACGTCAGGGCGTCAAGACGTCACTGATGGCGTCAAGACGTCACGCGATGGATGCGATAGAGGCGTCTAGCGCGGTGCGATAGACGCGCAATTCGCGTCCAACGCCTCATCGCTTGAGTTGAAAATATTGAACTTTTGAGGCGAATTCGCGTGAGAATCTCACAACAATAAACTGCTACTCACTGGAGACAGATGGACAGACGCTCCGCAGCTGAAATGGAGCGCCTGTAGTTGGTGTCCTGCCGGGAGATCCTGGCGCCAACCCTCGCCAACAGGTCCTCAAACTGGGCCCCAGTCAGCCTCAAGTACCGCTGAAAGCGGCTATCATCTAGACGGAGTTCCTGGACGAGGTGGTGAAACTCGCTGAGCTGGATGCGCTTCCGCAGGATAGGGTGAACCCAAAAACGACGGCGTTTGGCACTTCCAGAGCAGGTACAAAGCAGCGATGGTGGTTATCTCAGCCATGGTCGTCAGTGGCTACCCGGAGCTATATGATACTACGTGTCTACTCTACAGAGACCGCAACAAAAAGGAGCAGGCTTGGGTGAAAGTCACCGAGGAGACTGGTCTACTTGGTAAGTTCTGTAAATATGTGTCTTTAATTAGTTTGCAGAATGGTTGTACTATGAACGTTAGCACTAGCTTAGCTCCAGTTAGCACAGCCGGCTTCCCCGCTACTCGTGCGAATGACACGATAACGCAAATTAACAAAATGGTCCAGCGTCGAAACTCACGCGTTACACGCAGCGCGTTACTCGTGTTATGCACGAGTAATTTGCTTCACTTGCGCCCGGTGTGAATGCTACATAATGACGCTGCAATGACTGGAGACTCACCAGAACCAGCATGTAACATAATCTGAAAAACCCTCCGCATGTTATTTGATGACAGACAACCTGGGATAAAGCCTACTTGGTCTAAATGGACTATAGATGGGACTACCTTCTCCAAACGGAGTGCCAAGGTCTTAGCAAGAATCTTATAGTCACAATTGAGCAAACTTAAAGGATGGTAGTTACTCATTAAAGCCTTACACATAGAAGGGGGCAAGTATTTAAATTCCAGCGTTTTATTAAATAATGACAATAAATACGGAGAAAGCTGTTCTTTGAAACACTTATATATTTCAATACCCAGACCATCTTCCCCTGGGGCTTTATCTGAAAGCAATTTCATAATTGCCCTCTCAATTTCAGCTTGTGTAAGAGGGGCATCAAGCACGTCCCTATCTGACGAACTAACTCTCGGAAGGTTAACACTTTTGAAGAAATTATCCATTTCAGCTTCATTGACATTATTTTCTGTACTATAGAGTTTCGAGTAATAGTTTTTAAAGGACTGATTTATTATAGCAGCATCACACTGTAACACACCAGTCTCATCTCTACTTGCAGGAATTATCTGTATATTTTGCAGAGACTGCTTTATTCTATAGGCTAGCATTTTCCCTGCTTTTTCTTCAGTTTCAAAATAAAATCTGCGCAAACGGAAAAGAGCAAATGCTGTCTCTCGATCATATGCTGCTCTTCTAAGCTCTTAAGTCTAACATTTAATTGCGATTTTGTCTCACCACGCTTTTTTTTTCTGCTGAAGCAAAGCTAATTAACCAGCCCCTACATGTAGCCTTAAAAGCCTTCCAGACTGTGGCTACACATGATACAGAATTTAAATTTAACAAAAAAAAATCCACAATTTGCTTTTTTATAAGGGCAGTAGATTTTTCATTTTTAAGAAGTGATGTGTTGAGTCGCCATTGCCTCAATTTACAAGGGTGAGCCAAAGGAAAAAAATAACAGAAACTGCAGCGTGGTCACTTACAACAATAGTATCCATCTTAATCTCAAGAACATTTTGAACTAAGTTGGACGACATCATAATATAATCTATTCTAAAATAAGAATTATGTGCTCCAGAATAGAAAGAATACTCTCGAGCAACTGGATTCACCAAGCGCCATACATCTGTTACAGCAAGCACAGAGAGGCAAAATACTTAGATTGTGATGTATTTGGAGCATCTAAGTTCACAAGTGTTAGTTTTTCTATTTTGTAACCAGCCCGAAACAATAACATATCTTCAATCACTGTCATGATGCATACTAGATAATTTAAAAGGCGTATTTTTAGAAATTAAGATAACACACCTTTGCTTCCTTTACCACCAGGAGAGGAAAATACTTGCCCAACCCATTTCTGTCTCAGTTTATTTGATTCTGTGGCATTCAGATGAGTCTACTGCAGCATGGCAATATCACACTTAAGATAATTTAAATGCATCAATATTTTGTATCGTTTGATTGGGTTATTAATTCCATTAACATTCAGGCTAATTAAAGTCATTTAATTCAACCGTGTATCCATACAATAAGAACCACATCGTATAAATCAAAATCACTGCTAACATGACGCGCCCTGGCGCAGGTCGCACACCGGACCTACCTAGTAATCGCTGAGGCCGGTGCGCAACAAGTGAGACGGCATTCTCCGGGGCATCCGCCCCCAAAACCCGCTGCAGGAGAAAGCATGTGAACATAAATGAAAGAGGGGTGTCACTCTTGCATCAAAAGACAATGGAAGTAACAAATATACATTATTTAACGAGGGATGACAACGATTAAGTAACAAAGGCAAAAACATAAACACAACGGCCATCTGGCTACATCTGGCTAAGAAAAAGGCAGTTACTGGGACACAAATTGCCATATCTGCAATGATGCGGTGAAAACACAACTAGACTGGCTTCCCTTTATCATATAGGTCCAGTATTACTCATGTGTAGTATATGAAATAAACGTGAACTTGACTCCCTGTATTTAAACAGTTCAAGGTGGCTGTCGTATTTAAGGACGTTTATTACAGGGAGTGCGTTAAAGAGAAAAAACAGTTTTGGACCCACCGGTAAGGCATTAATAAGAGTTAATTTCAAAATCCAACCTGTGACGGTATATTAGGAGCTCCACGCCGTGGGGAGACCCTTCCCAAGACAGTCAAAAAAACTCTGGAAGGTGCCTTTTCAGGTCCTTTTCTGCATCCTTGAGTGAGGTGTAGGTAAACTTTTCCCCGCTGATGGTGACTATGAGGGCCTCTGGGTAGATAATGCCAAACCGTACCCCCACTTTGTGGAGCCGCTTCTTCATGTTGATATATTGGGCACATCTCCTCATCTCCTCTGCAAAGAAATCTTGATATACTGAGAAATGCTGGCTGTCCCAGGCAAGCTGTGTTCTGGTTGCAGCTCTGATGAGGTCTTGCTTGTCTCTCCAGCGCAACAAGCGTAAAACAATGGGACGAGGCGGCTGGTCAGGATTTGGCAACGGCCTTGGTGCACGATGCGCGAGCTCTATCTCCGGAGCCAGCTGGTCACTTGGCCGGTCTAATATGTAGCGCAGGATCTTGTCTAGTGCAGCATAGATATCGCCCGCCTCAATACCTTCTTTGAGCCTCACCAGCCTGATATTGTTGCGGCGACTTCTGTTCTCCATATCATCCACTTTACGTTGTAGCGCCTGGATCTACTCGATACTTTGGGATAGTTCAGTGGTGAGAGCTCTCTACCTTATCCTCCAGCTCACCAATGCAGTGTTAAGCATGCTTTATCTGTTGTAGCTCTTGTGTCTTTATTAAGGCTGGAAATGGACTCAGCCATGCTGTCCATTTTTGTGTCAAAATCCTCTCTAATTTGTTTGAGCTGATAGACAATGCTTCTGGCCCATTTAGGTGTATCATCCTTGCCCCACACCTGTTGCTCCTCAGAGGCATGAGCCAGTTGGTGAGTGCCGGTTGCCATATCCCAAGCCAATCCAAACTCGTTTAAGTCTTTTTTCTTCTTGCTGCTTCTAGTAATTCGGTGGTTTTAGTCATAACCAGGAGCTTTATCAATGCATTACCAAAGTCCGGCAGTTATATCTGTTATCACTTGGTACATTTAAAGCAAATCATGAAATAAGAGGAGCCAATTTGGCGTCTAGCGTGCCATCTTCAACTGTCAACTCACATGTGGAGTAGCCTTTGATTGATATACATGTGTGTATTTGCTGAGCTGTATCAGGTCATGTTGTACAATATGACTGTTCTCTTGTTCTCTTGCCACCCCCCCCCCCCCCCCCCCCCCCCCCCCCCCCCCCCCCCCCCCCCCCCCCCCCCCCCCCTCCCCCCCCCCCCCCCCCCCCCCCCCCCCCTTTTTTTTTTTTTTTCCTTTCTCTTTCCTCCCCCCCCCCCCCCCCCCCCCCCCCCCCCCCCCGCCCCCGTCTCTCTGTGTCTGCCTCTGTCTCTGTCTGTCTCTCCCTCTACACTTCCATTTTGTTGAATGTCATCACTGGTGTTGCCATGCCCTGGTCCCAAACATCACTAGACTACGGTGAGTGACTTTCCGTTGCCATTCTCTGCTCTTACTGTAGCTCTCCTATTTTATTTAACAGATAAAATGTTATGGTCTTTTTGATGTGAGTTAAAAGAGTCCTTCACCAATTTGTACCCCTCTTCCATAAACCTGAGAAATGTATGAGAAGTGAACTAAAAGAAATAGTGGTCCAAAGTCCCAGACATTGAAGTCCCCGTTGCAGTTTCATATAAAAATCACAACAGCGGTCTGACTAGATCTGAGCTGGGTGACATCTTATTAACAGAAAATACATGTATTTCATGTATCACTTAATTGCCATTTATTATGCACGAAGGAAATCTATCTAATTAAAATCCAAAATAGTTGTATGAACCAATTTTAATTTGTCTCTTTTGCTGATGGTTGCTGCAGTGCCACCATCAGGATTGTTAACTCACACTTATAGCTTTGTTACAGCAGAGCTGCCCTGTCTCTAATAACCATCAGATCAGAGGTCTCATTTATACATATACATACACACACACATATATA